TTTATCTCACTATCCAAACAAGTATTGATTTGAAACTACTTTCATGATACCCCACCTTTTACCACGCTTTACTCGGTACAGTGCTGCTCAGAGCATAAAACAACGGTTTTCTGGCCTTTACACAGCCGACCATTACACAGAAAAAAGCGCAATGAATATTACGCTTCTCTCTACGCCGCGTTTCCTAATATCTAGCATTTTTTATTCGGATGGTATCACTTTTCGCGAACAGTTACACTGAAACAATGGCCACCTATGAGATCATATGTGCAAAATCGCGATATTCAGTGTCGAATTTCCCATGAGCGGCGCGGACAAATCGCACGAAGTGCTTCGAATGTGTTTTGCTGCGACGAATATCATGTTAAGTTCTTGGTATAATTTTAAGCATGTTGGTTCAAGAGCGAATAAACTCCTTGGGGACGCTTAGCAACGACGATCCGTTTCGTTCGACGAGCGCGAACGATCCTGAATCTTTCATCCCGGCCGTATTAATCTTAGCGTATATAATTAAATCAGTGCGAGGTGAAATATTTCATAGCTCAGACGACCGAATAAATAAGCCACGCTCGTGGGCGCGTTGAATACCTGGCGAATTCAGCGAAGAACGCGGGCGTCGCGTTGTGCCACACGTTTTCCGATTTATCGTGCACTTCATCGAGGGGGGTGAATTTTTCGTGTATACCGCGCGCGACAAAACAAATACCTGCGCGCGCGAATCCGGATTTCTCGCACGACTGTCAAAGAACCTGACCAGCCGCGCCCTTATTCGAGTTATGCTCGTTGGCGCAAAAACCGCGTCTTGCAGCTCAACACCGTGTTTAAAAAATATATACAATAAATAAATAAATAAATAAATATATATATATATATATATATATATATCGATATTTTGTCTAATGTTTTGCGCACGGCGAGTCAAAGGTGACGCAAAAGCGAGGCTGTGTACCTCCCTCCCTCCCTCCCTCTCCCTCTCCCTCTCTCTCTCATTTCCTTATTGCTTTTCCTCCTTTCTCTCTTGCTCGCTCTTTACCCCGAATCTCTCGTTGAAATTCCGCCGAATCACACTCGTCGTTGAGCTAACTGCGCCTCGCCAGTTGCGAAATTAAAACAAGTTAGTTCGTAGAATCGATTTCTCTTTATGTGGAGAAGCGCGCGACGGGAGGTTGCGGGGGAGGGAAAGGGAGGGGAGGGGAGGGATGAGGATGGGAACGGCGCGCCGAGCGAAGGGTGGCGGATGGGTTTGTGCAACATTGAAAATATCTCGCCCGACAATAGGAAGTTTTTAATGTTTGCCCGCGCTCTTTTCCAGCTTGCCGAGGGAAAAAGCGCCGAGAAACGGCAAGAACATTGAGAGCTTTCTATTGTCGCGGCGAGTGTTTAGATTATTCGGATGTGCCGCGTTGTTCTGTGGTAGTCTCTTTTAAGCTCTTCTAAGTAACCGTTTCTAAGCACCACGTTCAGGCATACGGTCTCTCTTTCTCTCTCCTTCTCTCTCTCTCTCTCTCTCTCTCTCTCTCTCTCTCTAATTCTCTTTCTCAACGACGACGACGACGACGACGACGACAGTATGGAAGTATCCTGTGTCAGGAAGTTCTCTCTATCTTACCCCGGCTAATGAAGCACTCTCGGATTATCTTTGAAGTAAATTATATAAAGCTCTAGTGCCCGGTACGAATATTTTAATTATCATAGAAATTAACGTACGTTTTAACACGCGTTTCAGCCACTTCGGGCGGAGGAATTCGCGCGACGCGAATCGAAGATCGAAACATGAAGCTTGATCTGTCGAGATGTCGTGTTTCCAGTGGTTGGTCTTGCGATCTCTCTTCGTATGCACAAGATAAAAGCATCAATGCCCGAACACGCCTAATCTTAGACGTTCTTGTTTTGGTTTTCAAATATGAATATTTAAATTTTTAACATAAACACACATACACACACACACACATATATTGAATATACTGAATACATAGGATGTTAGATTCCAAAACATCTCTATTGTCTTTTACATTAGAGAAAAATGTGCACGGAACAAGGACTTCAGTTCGTATAAATGAACAAGGACCAGACGAAAAACTCGCTGACGAGAAACAATATCTCCGTTACTGCGACCGAAAACATTTGTCTTGAACATTCGGCTGCATTAAAACTCGCTTGAGATAGCGGAGAGCAATTGGCTGAGTGGAAACCTCCTATAGGAATCTTTCTGTTCCTACAACCTAGTTTTTCATTTGGTTCCCAGACAACAGAGAATTCAGTTACACTAACGTAGTTGTTTTTTCCGTGTGTGAGGAATAAATAGCGCGGTCGGAGGAAGGGCTGGCTGACCACAATATCTATTCCTTTCGACCACACAATTTATCCCTCGCCCATTTCCCTCTAATATAAAAGACTACAGAGATATTTTAGAATCTAATATTAGATAGCTTACTCTGTGTGTATATATATTCTTGAAATATTTGTATTTAACTTTCCAGTAATCACGTGTATCTCTCAGACACTTACAATGAACATTACCGGCATGACCATTTCGATTCATCTATCTTATTTCTTTCACTTTTGTATAAGAAAAAATGTAGCAATATTCATTTTTCTATATGGCCTTCAATTTGTTCCTCAAAGAATGCTAAAAATAGAAGAAATATACCCTATACTGAGCAATGGCTTAAACGAAAGATCTCGTCGAGTAGATTCACCTCCTCGTGGTGTACTCTAAGTAATGCAGAATGACTTCATCAATATATATTTACATATAAATAAGTGATATTTGACGCTCTCGATCTCATGAACTATAAACTACAGGTATATAAAAATGTATGTATATATTCTGAATCTACTCGATTTCTTTCGTTTGAGCTATTGCTCAATATTGGTCATGAGGGGACGTTTTTTCTAACTTGGCGCTCTCTGTGGTGAGCAAACTAAGGCCCATACAGAAAAATGAATATTATCACGTTTTCTCTCGTAAAATATAGTAGGGAATAGGACAGATGTGAATGGAAATCGTACTTGGTCATGTCAATAGTATTTATTATGAAACACAAAGATAGTGAGTTCATTTTGGTGCGATACAAAATTAATTAAAATGGGAATTAGAGCGATACGAGTTATATCTTTCCTATTTCCTGTGGAAAGTGTCTACCTAAAATTACCAAAAATACAGGGCCGTTTCGTCAAAGTATTGTAGTCTCCTTTTGATTAACAAAATGTTCAATGAAATTTCCGCTTCTGTTCTCCAAAGACTCGTGACTAAAGGTTAAAGACCAAGACAGTAAGAATGCTCGGATCAGGTACTTGTCGGGGGAAGGGGCGGGGATTGGTGCTTTCACCTTACTGCCGCGTGGCTGGGAATGCGTTATTGTTCGATTGCGCTCGCCGTTATCATCGTCGATACGTGTATTCACGGCGACGTGTGTCCGCGGTTGTCGGACGCGTCGTGTCGTTCAACACCGCCGCGCGCGAGAGTTGCGTCGTCGACGCTCCCGCCGAACTTTGGCAGACGTTATTTCCGGGATTACATTGTTCATCGACGGGACACGCGTAGCCACCTGGTCGGCCGGCCGGCTGTCTCGTCGGATCGCTTTTTCCAAAAACCACCGCCGCCACCGTCGGCGGAAAGCGATATCGATCCCGCGGGTCGAAACTAGCCGCCGCGACGCGTGGAAGAGAGATCGCGAGGATCGCGTAGATCTAGCGGTTGCTATTGTCGCTGTCGCGACGAGCTATCAGATATCGGTCGCTGGTTCGATCGATTGAGCGCGAGTAACGAGCCGGAATTATCCCCCCTTCGTGTGCTTGACGTTGCCGATCTCTTTCTCTCTCTCTCTCGCTCGCGCGCGCGCGAAGCTATTCATCACCCGGTTATGATAGCCGACGATCCCTTCTTGGAGGTAATTTCCTCGAAAACGAATGACTCGTCGTCGATTGTTCCGTAACTTCGTCGAGCCTAACGCAGGTCGCTATGTCGACTCGCTTTCTGCGCTTCCGAAGCTCCGAGTTGTGAAAGGTCCCTTTCGCTCTCTCGACGGTTCATGATTTAGAAGCCGTCCCTGTCCCTCGAGATTCTCGCTGAAGAAAAATCCACCGCGAGTCGCATGGAAGGGAGAGGAATCCGCGGAGTGAAAGGTGGCTTTCTCTCTCTCTCTCTCTCTCTCTCTCTCTCTCTCTCTCTCTCTCTCTGTCTCCCGTTGGGTGCGGGACCACCTTGCGTCTTTTGCGTCAATCATCGTGTCTCTCCGTTGTCGCGCGAACGAGAGACATTGTCGCGGCGCGGCGTTCACGCTCTGTCGTAACAACTCGTCGAAGTGATTTCGTCTCGAGTCGAGCAACTCCGCGATCGCCGCGATAAAGCGTTCCCGGAGCCGCGGGAGATCCCCCGATTGCGGCCCGCTCGCTCGCTCGGTCGCGCGCGCGATCAGGTGGTTCGACGCACCTCGGTGAACGTCGCCGGCGCGCGGCCAAGAGGGTAGCCGTCGCGGCTCGTGAGCGCGCGTGACGCGGCTCGCCGAGCCGCGACGATTCTCGCAACGTCGCGACTGATCGTCGCCCGTCCAAACCACGGACGCTCGCGTCTTCCATCGACATCGGCGAGAGTGCCGGACAATCGGCCCTCGCGACCGCGAATCCCGTTATGAATGTCGATAGGACAGGGGGGATAAAGACAGAGAGGGAGAACCATTCGATTGTACTCTTCTTTGCACTCTTTACTTGATTCGCGGTTAAACATCGGCGCGAATAATATACACTAAACCCGTAATATCTCGCGGTTGATCGTTAGTCAGGGTGCACCCCACTGGCGCGAGACGAGGGGCAGCATAAGGGATGCGGGCGGTCGAGAACGGGGGAGGGGTTGAGCAGGGGGCCAGGGGGCAGCGCACGATGGCTGCTCGTGTGTGTGTGTATGCATGTGTGTGTGTGTGTGTGTGTGTGTGTGTGTGTGTGGACGGAGGTTGCTCAACTTGACATCGCTCCGGTGACGTCATTGAAAATCACTTTACCTCGAGACACGATACGCGAGTAGCTCGCGTTGCCGTTGTTGTTGTCGTCGTCGTTGTCTGCACCAAGTCAGCACGGTGAGTAGTGTGAGCGAGCGTACGAGAGAAAGAGAGAGTTAATGACTCGGAGGGAGATGGGGCGACAGAAGGACGGTCCTCGCGCACGTAGGCCCCCGCTTCTTACACCGGCTGGCAGCGGCAACGGCAGCAGCAGCAGCAGCAGCAACGGCGGCAGCGGCACGTCGCTTCTTTGTTCTTCCTTCCTGCACCGCGCTCAACTCTTCCCGATTCAACGCCGTGGACGGCACCCGCTCACACTCTCTTTCTCTTCCTCTTCTTTCTTCTCTCCTCTCCGGCGTCTGTCACCGGTGTCACACTCTCCTGTTGCCCCCTTCTCGCGGCTATCGCCGCGCGCGCGCTAACGGCTAACGGAATTAATCGCAGCACGAGTCTGCGATCCCGGCGTGTCCACTTCGCACGCAGCGTGCGTGCATGTGCAAATAAATATATACGAATGTATGCGTATATACGTATACAACTATATTGCGTGTCACTTGGAATACGATACACACTACGCGCGATACCGTCGCGGCAACAACAATCCGCGACAACGTCAGACGCGCTACCGTTAATCAGCTAGCGCTATCTCTCTCTTTCTACCCCTCACACGCGTCTGTCGTGAACCACGGTTACACACGTACACAAATGCGCGCAAACATACGCTTCACGTACATATATGTATGTATAAACGTCTCTGTACGAGTGTACATATGTACATATAAATATATATATGTATGTATATATGTATACACACGTTTGTCGAAAACGCGATACAGCGCGGTACTCGCGCGAGATTATCTCCCGTCGGAACGCACGAGAGAGGCGCCCGCGTCACGCTGTATGCGCGCTGTATATATACACACACCGAGAGACCCCGGTCTCTCCACTTGTCGCGCGTCAGGCTCAGCCGACAACGTCCGTACGCAAACGAAGCTCGAGCACTACTGAACGGACTGAGCGCTCTGATGCGAGCCGACACCGGCCGAGCGTGTGGCCCACGACGCGGAGATACCCGACCGAGCGTCGTACCGCTACGACACGAGTTCCGAGTCGTTTTCCCCTCCGCTCTGACCCCTCTCCTTCCGCTCACCCTCGCTCCCCACCGCGCCCTTTCCATCCGCTTGCCGCGCGCAACCCGCGCGCGCGTCGGGGCCATCTATACGCTTCGGTCTCTACCCTACCATCGCCACACGTACACCACACGCGCGTGCATACACGTGCGCGCATGTACATACACACGCGCAAGTCTCAACGTACACACGTACGCAACACGTGCGCGCGCGCCGTACATACACATGCCTCCTCCTCCTCCTCCTCCACCACCGTCACCTCCGCCTCCGCCGCCTTCTCCTCCTCCGCCTCATCCTCCTCCTCCCATCGGCGCTTAAAGCCGTACGCGTCTTTCGGTACGAGATACAACGCGATTTTTCCTCGACGACGATCGCGCGCGCAGCGCGGGCTACGTGATCGACCGAAAGACGCCTATTTTAGAATGGAATAAGACGCACGGCCTTATTGCGACATCTCAGCCGGAGCCACGAATCTGTCTTGAGGAGGAGATAGAAGAAAGAGGAGCGAGTGCGTTGGATCGGTTAATGAGTCGAAATTTTTGTTTGGCATGGAGGGGAGAAAATTTCCGTTTGTCGTTGAGGAAATGTCTTGACGGCTACCGTATTTCTTGGAAAGACACAAAAGCACTCGGTGGTAGCGAAAAAAAGGGATTCTATTTACCGTTTTGTCTCGTTAGCCGGTTTCTGTAACGCACCGATCGTCTCTCGAACGGAGCCTCCATCTCCTTCCCCTACTCTCTCTCTCTCTCTCTGTCTTTCTCTCATATACATAGATGTGTTGGCGTAAAAAGACCGTGTATACCGAAAAGCAATTATCGACGTGTTTGGAATAAATTCCTCCACCCAGCGAGTGATTCAATTACGGTAGACGGAACTTATTGGCCGGTGCCTCTCCGCGACTCCGATGTATCCTCCGAGACTTAACTATCTCCACTGGTATTCGCCCTCGGCGTTTTATTATCGCGGTAAACGGCGAGTCGCCGAGTACGTGGCCGTAATCCGAGATGTATGCGACGTGTTATCGCTTAATGTGAAATGATACCTCGGATATCGGTGGTGATCGAGAAGGACCGCGAGTAAAATTCGAAGATTCTTTTATTGACTTTCGGAGAGAGTCCCGGAGATTAATAGAGGAGAGAACGAGATGGAGTGAGTGAGTGAATAAGACAGAGAGAGAGAGAGAGAGAGAGAGAGAGAAAGTAGAGACAGAGAAGGAGTGAGAGCAGCAGCGGTAGCAGCAGCAGCAGCACCAGGAGGAGGAAGAGGAGAAGAGGGAGAAGGGGGAGAACGTATCTAGTGCGCCGACCGCCGCGGTCGACGCTCCAGCGATTCGGTGCTCCAGTATTCGATTGTTGCTTCAGAGCGGCGATGCTCAAAGTGTATTCCGCGCGTTTCGGACAGCCAAAGGGGAGGTTCCGTACATTTTCATGAAAATTACCTCCCGATGCCTCCGCAACTACCTTACATATTGCACGGGCTTATCTTTGACATGGGCGCGCGCGCGCGCGTGCGAGAACGCTACCGCCAGTTCTCTGCCAGCTGACTCGAAATTATTCATTGATAAGCGCGCGCAACGCCGCTAACCATTTTCCCCGAACGGCTCGCTCTCCTCCGCGACGTGTTAAATACGTTAAGTTCTCACTCACCGCGCCCACGTGCATTCCAATGAGAGTGCGATAAACGCGCGAATATTATTGTATTCGTGATGATCGCGTTTACGTACGTACACATCTCGAATGGACACGGCAGTAATGGCGGTCTGATTAAGCCACCGGGAAAAGGTGATAATGTTATATTCTTATCGGCCAATACAGATATTTCGTTTTTCGACAGAGGCGTGTCTGTCTCATGCGAACACGAAGAGCTCCGGCTCGTAGCGTCGACGATCCGGATTATTGTCTCTCTCTTTCTCTCTCTCACTTGTTCTCCCTCTGTCGCTATCAAACTCCGAGCGAAATTCACTCGCCTCAAAATCGACGCCGACTGCCATTACACGTGTAATCGCAGCGTTAATATAGATATGTTTCGTATCAGTAATATTTATACGGTATAATAAATATCACATATTATATTGCGAGATATCGCATGAAGGACGGGGGAAGCGAAACGGCCAACTGCAAGTGACGTCGCCTGCCGTCAGAACGAGGTGGGGTCTCGCGGGAGAACGAGTCGGGACGGGACGGGACGTGTTCGGGGTGAAGGGGTGTTTCGCGATCGGGTGGGTGGATGAGAACGAGCGGATTAAAACGAAGCACCGGGGCGCGCTCGCGGGGGTGGTTTGCGTTTCGCTTAATGGGCAAGACGGCGAGAGTTGCGCGAGTTACGCGATACGCGCAGCATAACGTGCAGCATAACGCGAGCCTCGGCGAAGGCACGTCGCGTGGCGCGCGATTACGTTGGTGTAAAAAATCACGGGACCAGCACTTTGTTAACCAACACCTGTGCTGTCCGTCTACCACGAACTTTTCGTTGCCGCGGCGCAGGAAATGTCGTCGCCGCCGCCGCCGCAGCCGCCGCTGCCGTCAGTCGTCGTCGTCGTCGTCGTCGTCGTCGTCACCGCTGTCGCGTCGTGTCGTCGCTCTCTCGCTCTCGCTCTCGCGTCCGTCCCCGTCGTCGTCGTCATCGTAGTCGTACTCGTCGTCGACGTCGACGTCGTTGTCGCATTATCGCCGCTGCGCTGCTCTTTTGATTAAAACTGAAAACGCGCTCTCGCAACAGGATACGTTGTAAATTACACGCGCTGACGCATACACGCTCGCAAGTCTACGTAATATCGTCATAATCACGGTGCGTTAGGTAGAGAAACTGGCGCACGCTCTCTCTCTGTCTCTCTCTTTCTCTCTGTCTGTCTCTCTCTTTCTCTCTGTCTCTCTCTCTCTCTCTCTCTCTCTCTCTCTCTCTCTCTCTCTCTCTCTTTCTCTCGGAGATTTCAGATAAAATAAAAAGGGTGCAGTGCGAGTTCAAAAATATAAATTCTCGCTGCATGAGAGCTGTTTCTCTAACTAATATCTATTTGTGTTAATAACAACATTTTTTATGATATATCCGTTAATGCACGCGCGGGCGTAAGAACGACAGAAGAGATATTTTCTACATTTGTTTTGCCTTCAACACACACACATACGCACACGCACGCACATACAGCGCGAGGTCACTCAGCAGGTGCGACGATTGCGCTAGCTTTCCATTGACCTTATTTCGTGCTAATAATTCGCGTTCTCCTTATCGTGTAACATAAACGTATCTCCGGTCTTGTATTAGATATTATATATTTAATTATTGACGCGCCTGTGTTTGTGACACGGTTCGGAAAAAATTATCTTGATAATAATTCTGACGAGGGAAAAAGGGCGCAACGAATAGTCCATTTTTCCAGCTGGCATTTCTTGGTGTGTCCGGATTAGTGTTGGGGATATCTCGGTAGTACCGGACTATTTAGATATTTAAGGATCTCAAGTTCGAGCTTTCACGTGGATGCCTCGTATCGATGCGAGACGATGCCGCGGCGATGTTTCGCATGCTCGTACTTAAAACGGACATCGCACAGCGAGTCCTGCGAGCGAATACCGCTACGTGCAAACGAGTGGGTTTCCACTTTGCGCGCTTCTACCGCGCATCATTCCCTCTTTCTCTCGCCTCCCTCTTCCCCGCGCTACCACTTGTCCCGCTCTCTTTCTCTCTGAGCTCGTCGTACCTTTCAACCTCCGCTATTACTCCCCAACACGTTCGGCGTTTCCTTGTTCTTCGCCAAATAGCATGACAAATTTTCTACGATGACTTCAAGGAGGAAAACTTATCTCCAGCAGGTATACAGAAACAAGAAAAGAAATAGTTTGCCTTTTAGGCAGCCGCAGGTAGAACACATTCCATGTCTTTGTTTCGTAGACATTTATTCGTTTCCGAATAACTGTCTACCTGAACCTGAATGCTCGTTGTGTACGTTGAAGTTTACTACCGCAAGACACTTTTACCAAAATCGTACTGGAGTAATAAAGCACATATTGAGAAATATATAGATCACCAAAACTATTTTACGCGTACTATTTATATACGGCATTATTTTTTATGGAAATTTATCACCGGAGGATATGTCGAAGCATCGATAAGATAATAAGATCAGGTCATTTCATAGATGCTATTTGTATTTCAGTTACTGAAATGTTATTAAAAAATTCGCAAAGTTTCTAGCGAAATTTGCTATATTGCTAGTAAGGTAGACCTCAAAGTTAAAGTATACATGCCTGGACATTAGTAACTCTGGACATTCTTATCGCTTTATTTTGGTCTTTAGTCTTTTCAGGACGGGAGACATTTTTTGATGCTCTACGGCCTTCATGCATGTATTTCAGAAACTATCGATTCGATATTCACAAAAATTGGTATGGAGGTTTTTTTGGGGTGTTCTTTCTAAATTTGAAATAAAAATGTAAAATTCAAAATGGCGGATTAAATATGTAAATATGATTCAATTTCCGTGGAACTTTATACTTACTAAATTTGAATTAATGAAAATCTTAACTGATTTCGATATATGAACCATTTTTGCAAGGGTGAGCACAAATGAGCAGATGTGATCAGGTTGGATCAGATCTAAGCATTTTTTTCCTTGGTTGGCATTTTGAATTTCAAATATTCGATTTTAGTTCTCAAAAAAGTATCTTTAAAAAGTTTCATAGTTCAAATTTCACGGAAATTGAGTGATATTTATATTATTTATCATTTTTTCCGCCATCTTGGATCACAGAATTTTAAAAATCTAAATTCAGATTCGATTTAACGACCCCAAAAACTTATAAAATACGTACTTTCCTATAATTATTTCCCCGAGCAACCTCCCGTCCTGAAAAGACGTTTTAAACACGAATATTTAAACTTTCAATATATTTTCATATATTGCATATATACATATATATTCTACGTTTAAAGTTGAAATATTTCTATCGAAAAAACCAAAACAATAAG